CTACTTCTCTTCCTCCTAACTCCTCCTCCCTTTCCTCTTTCTTCTCTCCCTCCTCCCCCTCCTCCTCTTCATCTTCCTTCTGCTCCTACCTCACCCCCCCTCCTCCTCCACTTCCTCCTCCTCCTCCTCCTCCTTTTTCTCCTAACTTCTCCTCCCTTTCCTCTTCCTTCACCCCCTTCTCCTCTCCTCCTCCCCCTCCCCCTCCTCCTCTTCCTCCTTCTCCCATTCCTCCTCCTCCTCCTCATCCTCCTCCTGCTCCTCCTCCTCCTCCTCCTTCTCCTCCTCCTCCTCCTCCTCCTCCTGCTCCTCCTCCTCCTCCTTCTCCTCCTCCTCCTCCTCCTCCTCCTCCTCCTCCTCCTCCTCCTCCTCCTCCTCCTCCTCCCTGGTTGCTGTGAACACTGAGGCTGAATCTGCCCGTGAGATTCCAGGCCATGGGCTGCTGCGTCTCCTGGGTTCCGGGAGGGGATGAGTGAGTGCGGTGTGGGGTGTGGGACCCTGTGCTGAGGGGATGTGCCTGCAATCTGAGGACTGTGGGGAAGATAAGATCTGAAAGTCAGGGGCGGGGGCAGCTGGCACATGGAGGGGACCCCAGAGTGGCCCTTGGCCAGGCCTGCTCCAGCCAGGCTCCATGCGAGGCAGCTGCGTGGTGGCCGGGCCGGGTCAGGAAGGCATCTGGGCTCAGCCATCCCTGCCAGTTCCTTCCTCTCCTCACGCCCCTGGGAGGCCCCTTGGGTCAGCACCCCAGACATGAACCCAGTGGTCTGGGGAAGGCTGAGGTTGGTTCAGTTTATTTTTCTCGCTGCCCCCTGCCCCCCTTTCAGAAAGAGAAGCACTCAATGTCCGCCCGGGCATTTATCTTCTTGTCTGTTTCTGGTTTGGTTTTGGGGGCCACACCTAGCTGCCCTTGGGGACTACTCCATGTGGTGGGTGTCCACTGCTCCTGGATATTGCTCAGCCCTTTGAGTCATCTGTCCACCCCAGGCCCGGTGGAAATATCCCTTCCTTAAGCCAACCAAGAGAAAGCCGCCTTCTTCCATCTGGACCCCAGATTATCTTGCCCCGCAGAGGTCCAGTGCCCTGCAGGACACCGTGGCGGGCAGAGCTGGGCCTTGGCCCTGGCAGTGAGGAGGCCAGCGGTGGAGCCTGGCTCCCAGCTGCCTGCTCTGTCCCTCCATGGCCACACGCGCGCTTCGCCCTGCGGCCGGACGCTGCACTTTGTGTCTCAGACACGTCTCATGATTTCATTTCACGAGGCCATATTGTGATCCTCACATTTTTTTTGGGTCTGTCTTCTGGTTTGGGGGGGCTCACCTAGCAAGTGCTCAGGGCTGACTCTGGCTCTGTGCTCATGGATCATTCCCAGCAGAGCTCAGGGGGACCAAGCCCCAGTCGACTTCCTGCAGGGCAAGCACCTGACCTGCTGAACTGCTCTTCAGCCCCGAGGCTCAGCATCTTACAGATGCGGGAAATGGAGGCCAAGGGAGGCTGAGTTGTTTGCCCCAGAGCAGGCCGTGGTACCTGGCAGAGCTGGGCTTGTGAGCAGGGATATCCTGGGGGTAGTGGCTCTGCTCTCAGGAGGGACACGGGGCCGTCGGGGGATCCTGAGGTGCTTCGAGGATGATTAAGAATCACTGGACCAAGAGCGATAGTGCAGCACGCTGGGCACTTGACTTGCACGCAGCTGACCGGGGTTCAATCCCCGGCATCTCATATGGTCCCCTGAGCGCGCCAGGAGTAATTCCTGAGTACAGAGCCAGGACTAACCCCTGAGCATTGCCGGGTGTGGCCCAAAGTACAAAACAGAATAAAGAGGCAGAGAACTGAGGCCAGTGATAACACAGTGGTAGGACACTTGACTGACCCTACTAGGAGTGATCCCTGAGCACAGAGCCCGGAGTCAGCCCTGAGCACCACCGGGTGTGGCCCCCAAACCAAACCAAAACAGAAAGCCTTGCAGGGCCGAGGAGCAACAACGGGTGGCAGAGGGGAGGCCCAGGCGGGTTCCCGCCCAGCCCCACTGGGTCTCCTGTGCGAGCATAGCCCTGGAGCCCCCTGCTGGGGTTGGGGTCCCTGGCACTGACCCACGTGCCAGCTTGGCTGAGTCTGGCCCGAATGATGCTCTGGGCACCTGAACACCCGCGGGAGCTGCCTCCCCCTGCCAGGAGAAAGGTTTGCGAACAAGAGCCGGGGCCCCCTGCTGACTGCGTCTAGGGGAGAAGCAGGGTCACCCCCTCTGCAGGCCCAGAGACTGTGACCTTCGCCCGGGTCACACAGCATGCTGACCGCACCGGCCCTTGCAGCCAACAGAGACATGGCGTCCATCGTGTCTGAGATCATGATGTATGTGCTCATCGTGGTGTTGACCATATGGCTCGTGGCCGAGATGGTTTACTGCTACAAGAAGATCGCAGCGGCCACCGAGGCTGCAGCGCAGGAGAACGCGTGAGTGTGCAGGGCGCCGGGGTGTCGGGCGGGATGGCAGGGCCGCCCAGGGCCCAGCCTCTCCCGGTCCCCATGTCTGTCCTGGTCCCCGTATCTATCCCGGTCCCCGTGTCTGTCCTGGTCCCCCATCTGTCCTGGTCCCCCCCGTCTGTCCTGGTTAATCTATCTGTCCCCGTCCTCATGTCTGTCCTGGTCCTCCCATCTGTCCTGGTCCCCCCCGTCTGTCCCGGTTCCTCTATCTGTCCCCGTCCTCATGTCTGTCCTGGTCCTCCCATCTGTCCTGGTTCCCCTGTCTGTCCCGGTCCCACTGTCTGTCTCAGTCCTCATGTCTCTCCTGGTCCCCTGTCTGTCCTGGTCCCTGTGTCTGTCTGGTCCCCCCCGTCTGTCCTGGTCCCCGTCTCTGTCCCGGTCCCCCCATCTGTCCTGGTCCCGTGTCTGTCCCCGTCCTCCTGTCTGTCCCAGTCCCCCTGTCTGTCCCAGTCCCCCCATCTATCCTGGTGCCCCCCACCCCCAGAGGCAGCTTTGCTCTCTGGCCCAGCTCCCCTCCCTCAGACCCCCAGCCCTTCTCTCTACAGTGAGTTCAGGCGCCAGCGTCTCCTCCCCCAGAGACCCAGGCATCCAGGCTCCAGGATGTCCGACCCCCCCCCCCCAGTTCCCTCCTTCCCCAACCCAGAGCCTGCGCCCCTGGGGAGCATGGGGTGGGGCGGTCCACCATACAGCCAGCTCTCCCCCACAGCTCCGAGTACCTGGCCATCACCTCAGAAAGCAAAGAGAACTGCACGGGCGTCCAAGTAGCCGAATAGCCCCGGTGAGCAGGCCCAGGGCTTGAGGGTGTGTGTGTGTGGAGGGGGGTACCCCAGGGTGGGGGGCCCCAGCCCACAGCCCCCCGTAACCCCCGCCTCATCTCTCCTGCCTTTAGGCTCCGGGCTCCGCCTCTCGGAAGAGCCAGTCCTAAACGGGGGGACCCTGGGCACAGCCCCCCAGTGGGGGTGTTGGCCCTCTCCTGGGCCCCCACAAGCCTCAGAGACCTGCCCATGGAGCCGCTGGGGGTGGGAGGGGCGGGGGGGCTTGGCTCACACCCCCTCCAGCCCTCTTCCTCCGGCCCCTCGCCCACCCGCCACCATGCATGATGGGTAAAGCAATACGGCCGGCCGCTGCCCCGCACCCGCTTCTGCTGCCTGTGGCGGGAGGGGGCGGCGATGTGGGGGCAGCGGCTCCGCACCCCTCCTTCCTGCTGATTTGCACACATTGGCTGCTTCACATGCACACTTTGGGGGGGGGCCAGCCCCTCCTCCCCCCTCCCCCCCTCCCCAGCAGGGGGCTGGATGGGCCCCAGAACAGCCTGGGGCAGGGGGTCCTGGGACCCACTCCAACCCCCCAGCAGCATTTCCCCTCCTGCTTCCTCTGGCTGGACCTGGGGTCCCCTCTCCCTGTGATGTACCCTCGCCCCAGCCCTCCCCCCAGCCTCTCACCAGCCTCGGTGGCCCCTCAGAAAGGGCCCAGTCAGCCTCGTCTCTCTTGACACACGTAGTTTTGTTCATGAAATAAAGATTCTCCAACTTGACCCACGGTCCTCTCTCTCCTCTGCCCAGCCGTCGCCTTCCGCCTCCCTCGCCTTGAACCCAAGAGCCTCAGGTTTTTTTTGGGGGGGGGACCCATAGGCAGTGGGACGGGGTGGGGCCTTGCATGGGCCCAGCCTGCTGGGTCGGGGGGGGGGGGGGGGGGGGACAGATCGTGGAGTCTGATTAATGCAGAGGCTGAGGCGTCATGAGCTCTGCCTAGGAGCCGGGGCAGGAGGGAGTTGGTCTGAGCTGGGGCACAGGAGTAGAGGGTTCCACATGGGGTGTGGGGAGAGGGACAAAGGGGCAGGTGGGGCCTCAGCTTCTGTGGCCCGGGGTCCGGCAGGGTGTGCCAGGGCTGTTGCTCAGCCTCTGGCCAGCCCTTGTGGATCTGCTTTCTGGGCGCTTCCGGCCACTTGGCCTGGGTCTCGGCACTCCGCACGCTTTTTCCGGGCCCAGGCCCCCCCATCCCCCACCTAGGACTTTCCGGGCTCCAGAGGTCACTGCTGCAGGGCTGCCGAGATGCTGCCCAAAGCAAACCGGCCCCCGTGACTTAGAGGAAGGCGACGGGGGAGGGGCGGGGGGGCGGGGAGGCCCAAGGGGGGGTTGTGGGTGTGTGGGGGGGAATCTGGGGGCCCTGAGCCAGGCTGGAATGGGGGCAAGGGCAGAGCTGCCCCCTTCCCAAACTGGACTGTGTGCCAGGAAGCAGCGCTGGACAGGGGGAGCTGGAAGGGTGGGCAGGGAAGGGGGAGGGCGGGGGCTGAGCAGGAGGCCAGGAAGTGGCAGGACCAGGGGGGTCTGGGCACAGCTGGGCTCCTCTCTCCGGCCCTCACCCCCCTTCGTCCTTTGGGAACCCCCAGTCCCGTCCCAGCCTGCCGGGCGGCGTAGCCCCAAATCCGGCCCTCAGGCCCTGCCTGCTGGCTCACCTGGGCCCCTGGGGCGCAGGGGGCCGGGCTCAGCCTGGTCCAGCCCCTGGAACCGGGCCCGCCAGCCAGGTGGCCTCAAGCGCTGCCAATCCCCTAGCCCGGCCCCACTCCGCCCCTCCGCCCGCCTCCGCCGGCCCCTCCTCAGGTGAGGCCACCGGCCTAGCAGGCCCCTAGCTGCTGCTGCTCAGCCCGGCGCCCTGCTGCGGGGCCACCATGCTCCTGCCCAGGCCAGGAGACTGACCGCAGCCTGCACCATCTCGCAGCTCCACCAGCACCCGCCGGACCCCAGGGTAAGGACAGCGGGGGCCCCCAGTCCCCGTCCCAGCACCTGGGTCCCACCACCCCCTCCCCTGCCTCATCTCCAACTCCCAGTGAAGGGCTCTAGCACTCAGAGCCTGCGAGACCTGGGGGGTTCTGGGCCCCACTTCTCCAGACTCTCTGATGGGCCGCAGGCGTCCCCCACGGACCTGAGTTCAGACCCCAAGGCCCCTCCTCCCTCCCGCTGAGGAGTCCCGGCCCCCCACACCCTGCTGTCCTCTAGAGCCAGGAATCCGGGCTCTGTCCCCTGCTTCTCCTGACCCAGAGATGCCCACCCTGCCCTTGTCCTTCTGGGCCCGGCTCAGGGCCCCCCCAGCCCGGCATGCTGGTGTCCCCCTGGCCCCCGGTCAGACACTGACCCCATCCTTGAACCCAGCCCCATCTGCGGCTCTGACCACAGCCTGTCCTGGCCCAGACCCAGTCCCCGCTGCCCGCCTGGATGGGCGCCTGGGGGCTGGGCACCGGGCTGGACTGGCTCTGCCCGGCCCTGCCTCCCCTCCCCTCCCCACAGGTCCTGCCCCGGCCCAGGAGGTCAGCCGGGGAATCATTAACGAGAGGCTGTGACATGGCGGAGAAGGAGGGTAAGTCCCCCCTGCCCCGAGCTCGCTTCGGCTCCACTGGCGCCCCTCCCTCTGTGCTCCCTTTAGAGCCCCCCTGAAGTTCCCCTCGAGGGACCCTCCCCCACCCCCTTCCAGGGCCTCCTCCATCGGGTGAGCTGTTAACTCCGGTTTCGGGGAGATGGGGGGGGGGGCGTTGTGCCACCACCTGCCTCTCTGCTATCCCATCTGACCTTGCTGAGCCTTTGCCTCAGTTTCCCCTCTCTGCCCAGTGGCCTGTCCTCTCTGCCTGAGAAGGGCACGAGCAGACTCACTGATCTGGGCTCAGAAGCTCAGGCTGGCTCTTGCTTGTGCCGCCGTCACTCGTGGGCCTGGGGGGTGAGGGGTGGGGGGGAGGGTGGGTGGGCTGGAGCCTGGGGCGTCATTTCTCTGGGTCTTGGTGTCCCCTTGGATCAGGCCCGGGCGTGACTAGGAGCTAGCCGTGTGAGGGTGCGGGCTGCCTGGCTCCCACAAGAGGCCCCGGCATGTGAGATAAACAGGGTCGGAGAGGACTTGGCGGGCCTCTGCCAACCTGGACCCGAGGACCCTCCCACCCCCCTCCAACCACCAGCAGTGCCAGACGTTTCTCCCACCTCCTGGCTGTGTGGGCAAAAGAGCAGAGGGAGAACTTTGGACTTGGCCGGGATGGATGGACAGGGGAGAGATGGCCCAGCGGGCGTTCCAGGGTGACCGGCAGGCAGGAGCTGCTGGGATGGCTGGCACGGGGACCCCAAGGAAGGACCTGCTCAGGGAAGGTCCTCCAGTTCACCCCCACAGGATCCGACTCCCCATCTCCTTGGAGCAGGCTGAGTGGGGACCCTGGAGGAAGCACTTTGCTGCTCTGGGGCTTGGCAGGTGGTTCACCTTCGGGGCCTCCGTCTCCTGATCTGTGTTAGCACCCCCCTCACCGGGTGGGGGTTCAGAGGCCTGGAGAGGGGCTGAGGACACCCCCGGTGGAGTTGGTGGTGTGGCTCGCTGGCCTCGGGGAGCACCAGCAGAATGGAACCGATCAGCCTCCAAATCATTGAGTTGAGACGCCAGAGGCTCTCTGGAGTGCTCTGCAGGGGCCCCCGGGGGCCCGGAAGCAGAGGGACCAGCAGAGCATGCTCACAAGGGGGCCAAAGACGGCTTATATCCAGCCGGCCCAGGCAGAGGGGCGCCTAGACATCCCCAGGCAGCTCTGGCCAGTGCTCCCTGGGGACTTGGAACTGGCGGCAGTGACGTCTGAGTGGCCACTCAGGAGTAGGTACGGCTTGCCAAGGACCCCGGACTGGGGGCACACGCTGCCACTTGGGCCCGTGGCTCAGGGTTTGCAGGCACCTGAATCCTCCTGGAGGTTCCGTAGGGAATGTGGAAGGGGGGGTGGGGTGTGCAGGTCTGCAGAGGGCGTGCAAGCCCCTGGCCCAGGTCTGATTTTGGAGCTGTCCTGGCCGCTGCCCTGGCAGTGCCGCGTCTCTCCACAAGGTGGCGTCAGTCGCTGTTTGTTTCTCCTCGCAGACCTGCGTTTCACTACTTCTGCCGAAACTCAATGAGGCATCTTAATGACCCCTATGGCTGTCTGGAGGTCTGGGGAAACGTTTGTCCAGCCCCCAAATCTCTAACAGTCATGTTTCCATCCTAGAGGGAACTTTAGGCTCTGTCCTGGGCACCCCAGGAGTCACGGGGATTCTAGGTAACGAGGAGCAGGGAGGGTATGTGTTTGCCTTGCATGCAGCCAACCTGGGTCTGATCCCCAGCACCCATATGGTCCCCTGAACCGCGCCAGGTGTGAGCCCTGAGCACCACCCGGGGCTCCCAAAATAAGAAGGAAGAGGTTGGATTTGACGTTCCTGAGCATGCCTCTGGCCCATGTGGAGACTGGCAGCTCGTTATGGTGGCATGGGTGGTGAGGGGCAGGGGAGTGGGGAGGCAGGGAAGCCTAGGGGGTGTGGAGCTGCGACGCTGTCCAGGAGAGGGGTCCTGCAGATGGTCCTGAGAGGGGCCTGGAATTTGGGGAGACTCTGAGGCCAGTGTGGGAGCATGGGGTAGCAGAACAGAACTTCTAAAACTTTCTCCGCTCATCACCCCTTTCTCCCAAGAAACGCACTGTGGGCAGAAAGCCCTCAGCTTCATGATGGGGTTGATCCTGAGTTAGTATTTGGTCGTGGTGCCTTCACAGACCGTTCACTGTTGCCCAAGTTTTCACGACCCCACGTTTCGTTACCGTGACCCCCATGAGGTCATCACCTATAGAAACCAGAATGAAGAAGTTTGAAGAGGGGACATCTAAGAGAGAGTCGGACCCCTGATCGGGAACGAAAGGGAGAATCCAGGTGGAGGAACAGAAAGGAGCAACTGAGGCTGGCTGCTGTGAGCAGGGAGGCCTGAGGGATGAGGTCCCGGGGCTGGGTGTGGGAGGAGGTGTCTGTGGGGAAAGTAGCCCCTGCTGCTGGGGTCTTGCTCTCTGACCCGGAAGGAAACATAGGCTCAAGCTGAGCTTGGAAAACGGGTTTATTGCTCTGAGGGTGTTGAGGCGATGCAGGACAGAGAAGCTGGGATTCCGGCTGTCCCCAGCCATGCAGGGCTTCTGGTGCGTGCCCTGGGGCAAGCTGGAAACTGGGATAGCCCCGGGGCCTAGGATGTGACTCGATGATAGATTATTTGTTGGATCCCGGGGTTCAATCCCTGGATGTGCTGCAAAAAAAGAAAAAAAGGTCCTTGTTCATTGCCACCCGTCCCCCTCCCACCCAGTGTGAGGGGAGGTGAAGGATGAAGGCTGGCAGGAGTTCAAAAAGGGCTTCTTGGGAATGGAGAAACAGTACTGCAGTAGGGCATTTGCCTTGCACGTGGCCAACCCAGGTTCGATCCCCAGCATCCCACATGGTCCCCCAAAACCCCCAGGAATAAGCTCTGAGCACCACCAGGGTGACCCCAAAACAAAAAAAAAGAAAAAAAGAATAGTAAGAGTACTGAAAGGTCTCTGCTCATTCAATTTCTATGCTTAACTGGACCCTGGAACTTTTTATTGATGGGGGAGGGGGCACACTTGGCAGTGCTCGGGGATCACTCCTGGCGGAGTTCAGGGGGCTATACAGAGTACTGAGGATTGAGACCAGGTTGGCCTTGTGCAAAATAAGTTCCTTATAAATCATTTTTTTAAAAACTAAGTACCTTAGCCACTGTGCTGACATTTAACAGATGAAAGAAAAACTGAAAAAAAAAAAATCTTCAGTTCCAAACCCAATAAGCCATCAGCAGTGACTACCGGGAAGGAAGGGAAACGGGGTTCCTGCAGCCCCCAGCCCTGGGAGGAACTCGGGGAGTGAGTGGCTTTATGGTGGGTCCTCGTCTGGTCACAGGAAGAGAGGAGGAGCAGCCTGGTGGCTCTGTGGGGGAGAATTAGGGGGTGCAGAGCCTAAGGGCCCATGGGAGGGGGCCATGTCCCTGCGGACATGTGTGGCAAGGACACCCCACCCCCAGGCACACAAAGCGAGGACACTTCCTGTTCCCCTCAAGGACCCGCTTTGGGGTTGCCAGAAGCCCCCAGAGCAAGAGACCATGGCAGAGTCCCCCGAACCTGAGCACCCCTTAGCAGGCCAGGCTGGGGGCCGAGTGTCCAGGCCTTCACACCCCATGAAACCCATGCTGAGCCAGGGGGACTGTCCCAGGATGGGGCTCAGCTGCTCCCTGTGCTGGTCAGTGCTGGTGGCCGAGTGCTTCTCCCACAGACGGGAGAACTGGGGCTCTGGCAGATGCTAAGGGCAGTCGCACACTCCCAGGACCAGCTCAAGGCTAGCATGAACTTGTTCACTTTGCACCCCCTGGCCCTGGCAAAGGGGTGTCTTCTGCTCCCTGGGGCCCTGCTCCCCTCAGGACCCAGCCCCTCCATCACCCTCCCCTGCTCCCCCTGCTGTGGGGCTCTTCCTTGGGGTCTTTGCAGGGCCAGCCACAGCCTTGGGATTCAAGAGTCCCCTGGAGGCCAGTGGGGGCCCCCCACCCCCGACAGTTGACTGGGTACCTCCCAGGTCATTGCCTTTTTCTTTTTGGGTCACACCCGGCGATGCTCAGAGGTTACTCCTGGTTCTGCACTCAGGAATTACTCCTGGTGGAGCTCAAGGGACCATATGGGATGCTGAGAATCGAACCCGGGTCGGCCACGTGCAAGGCAAATGTCCTATCTGCTGTGCCATCGTTCCAGCCCCGGTCATTGCCTTTTTGGCTCTTTCTGTCTCCCCTGGGCCCCATGCTCCGTCTCTCCCCCTCTCTCCTCTACTCCCATGTACTCCCAAAGCCAGAGTTGCACCCGCCCACTGTGGAGCTGCACCCCCAGAGCTCAGCCGGGCTCCCTCCCGGCACACCGAGTGAAAAAGCTTCTGCTTCCCCCGTGAAGAGCCAGGGGGCGGGCGTGGCCAGCACCAAGCAGCTGGGACCTGCCCCTGCCCCTGCCAGGTGGGCACCAGCGAGGCAGCATGGCCCAGTGGTCACCCCTCGAGGCTCGGGCTCACGTCTGCAGGAGTGGAGTATGGAGGCTAAGGGATGGGGGAGAGATGGGTGCCCAGAAAGCAGTGCTCACTCAGTCTCCTGTGGCTGGAATTCTTATTCTTTTCTTTGAAGACTCTCCTTTCCTTCCTTTTTCTGGGGAGGCGGGGAGGATGGACCATCACCTCAGTGGTGCTCAGGGCTCACTACAGCTTCTGTGCTCAGAGCTCATGACCTCTTGGGGTGCCGGGGAGCAAACCCCGCTTAGCCACTAGCAAGGCAAGCGCCCTACCTGCTGTACCATCTCTCCACCCCTACTCTTCTGTTTTAAACAGGCAGGTGCCAAGGAGGTGGTACCCACTAAAGAGAGGAAGAAGAGGGGTCTCTGAGAGGGGGTGTCCCCATCCAGACCCCCAGCTGGCGGGGCCTGGGAGGTCCGTGGTTTCAGGATGGGGGTGGCAGGCTTCCCGACTCAGCTTCTCAACCTTGAGGGCTCACTTGGTGTTAGAACTGGGGACCCGGGGAGAAGTCTAGTTTGGGGGTTGTGAGGGGAGGGTACCCGGGCACAGAGGGTCTTGGAAGAGCAGAGAAAAGAGAGGCAGCAAGGAAATACCCCCACAGCAGGAAAGAGAGCTGTCAGCAGGGCTGAACTCAAGGGTCAAGACCCCCAGGAGGGTCCGAGAAGCTGTGGGGATGTTAACGAGGGGTGGGGGGGGACGAGGGGCTGTCCCGGCCTTGCCCCTTCCCAGCTGCAGCCCTCAGACCACTGGACGCCTGCTATGTCCACGCCACAGGGGGCCTGGGGCTCAGCCCGGAAATGGGGCCCTGGCCAGCTCCAGCCGCTGTTGGTCCTGGGGGCAGGGCCAAACTGGCTCTGTGCCCAGGACCCGCAGCACCTGGGAGCCAGGGCCAGAGTCCAGCCTGGCCGTGTCCCCGGCATGCTGTCTGTTGCAGGTGGCCGGAACGTCCCAGGCTGCTCCGGACCCAAGGTGGCAGCGTTGGCGGTGGGGATCCTCCTGCTCCTGACGGGCATTGGGGCGGCAGCCTGGGCCATCGGTGAGCATGGTGGCCCCTGCCCTGTGTCTCCCCTGCCCTCCCCCGGTGGCCCCTGGCCGCCTGCCCTCACCTCCACCTTCTCCACAGTGACCGTGCTCCTCAGGAACGACCAGGAGCTGCTCTACCCAGGTGAGTGGCCAGGCTGGGACGCCCAAGGAAGCGGGGAGGGTATCTGAGACTGGTGTGGTGTGAGCTCCAGGCACACGGGGGTAGGGGTGGGCACAGACAGGGAAGAAGAGAGCATCTGCTGGGGGCTGTGCCCACCCAGAATCCGTGAGCCCTGACACCACTGTCCTGAAAGGTTCTTAGAGCACTGTGGCCCTATCAGGCCGGGAAGAACCCTCAGAGGCCTTGGAGGCTGAGCTGAGGTCACCGTGGCGAGCTCAGATGGAGTAACCTCCCCGAATTTGAGCGGGCAGCACACTTGAGTCGGGGGCTTCGATGCCTTAGCCAGCTCTGTGTGTGTGTGTGTGTGTGTGTGTGTGTGTGTGTGTGTGTGTGCTTGCATGTGCGTAATTAAACAAAGGTTTTGTGTGTTGGGTGGGGAAACAAGGAATAAAGGACAGTGCAGGCTGACTTGCCCATAGATGTTTAGGTGGGGAGGGTCTCTGGGGTTTTTTCACTGCGTAGTCTTGGTGCACGCAGGGTTATCGATAGAGAAATCAGCGAGTATGGCCAGTAGTCGATCAGCTAGGACAAGAAGGGAGAGCTGTTGTGTTCCTTAGAGGAGCAGGAGAGGGGGTGCTTTCAAATGGGGGTGCTATGGGCCAGAGTGATAGTACAGTGGGGAAGGCATTTGCCTTGCACGTGGCTGACCTGGGTTGATCCCCAGCATCCCATATGGTCCCCTGAGCACTGCCAGGAGTCATTTCTGAGTGCAGAGCCCGGAGTAACCCCTGAGCACTGCTGGGTGTTGCAAAAACAGACAAACAGAAAACTTGTCTTGGGGCTAGAAACAGGACAGGGGCTAGGGGGCTGCCTGGCCTGTCCAGAACTATATACGATGCCAGGCCATCTCCAGGAATGACCACTACAAATCAGGAATAGTCCCTGCCCGTTGCTGGGTGCAACCCCAAATTCCTCCACTCCAAAAAAATAAACCCAAAACCTATGTCTTACCGGGGAACCGTGGCTTCATTGTGCCTCAGGCTGTGCTGGACAGCGGCTAACAGAGGGGAAAAGTGAGGACCAGAGAGCGTGCTCAGGGGCAGGATGCTGGGGGCCAGGCACAGACTTGCCCGGGAGAGCCCGAGAGCCATATGCAGACCAGCAGGAGGAGGAGCTGCAGGAAAGATCAGGTACACAAGGAGTCAGGGACTGAGCGGGTGGCACTCACCCAGCCACCTCCAAGCAGCTTCCCTAAGGCCCGGGTGCAAGAGAGATGGCAAGCCAAGTGGCTGTACCTTTTTAGCTGCTTCTTACTCTGGAAAGGACTCAGGTCACCTTAAGAAGGGAAAATGTTGGGGGCTGGAGTGATAGCACAGTGGGTAGGGCGTTTGCCTTGCACGTGGGTGACCCAGGTTCGATTCCCAGCATCCCATATGGTCCCCCGAGCACCGCCAGGAGTAATTCCTGAGTGCAGAGCCAGGAGTAACCTCTGAGCATCGCCGGGTGTGACCCAACAAGCAAAAAAAAAAAGTGCTTGGGGTTGGGGGTGGGGGGAGGAGATGCCTTTGAGGGCTGGGGTTTATGCTCTACATGCGAGACCCATGGATCGCTAAGTGGTACCCAAGTGGCATTGTCACCAGGAAGCCAGGGACTGTAGCTTAAGAACAACAGGGGCCTGCTTTCAGTTGGCCGGGCCTGGTCTCTGGCATTGCATGTGGTCCCCCAAGCCACCAAGTTGCTTACTCATAAGCTGTTCATTCTTCAAGAAGACCCCAAGCGCCCCTGAGCTCTAGAGAAAGTCGATTCCTTCTGCAGGGGCCACATGCACACCCTTCTCTTTTCTGGAGTAATCTCTGAGTGCAGAGCCAAGAGTAAGCATTGCCGGGTGTGGCCCCCAAACCAAAACAAACAAAATTTAAAAAAAAAGGAGAGAAAGGAAAGGAAAGAAAGGCAGACCCAGACCCAGCAAGGCAGTGTGGGAGCCAGTCCCCACCACCAGCCCTGAGAGCGTTTTCACGGGATCAGTCACGAACATCCTTGCTGTCTGGGCAAACTGCTTCAGAAAGGCCCTGTGACTTGCCCTCGGTCCCAGCACCAGTCCGTGGCGGGCCTGGGGTCGAAACCCAGGTAGCCCCAATCCAGTGGTTGGACCCAAGTAGAACTAAGACTGTCTTCTTTTTTTTTTTTTTTGACTTTTTGGGTCACACCTGGTGATGCACAGGGGTTAGTCCTGCCTCATGCACTCAGGAATTACTCCTGGCAGTGCTCGGGGACCATATGGGATGCTGAGAATCGAACCCGGGTTGGCCGTGTGCAAGGCAAACACCCTTCTCGCTGTGCTATCACCACAGCCCTGAAGTAAGACTGTCTTGTTTCTCAAGAAGTAGCCAAGAGAGTTGCTGGATGTCTCAAGTGCCTGAGAGCGCGGGCTGCAGAAGGGGAAACAGAGGCCCAGATAAGCCAGTTGACCTTCCCCATTTGGATAAACGGCAGGCTGTGCCCCCCAATCTCCCCGCTGCCCCCCGTCATGCCAGTGGGCTGAAGCCCCAGGTCTTGGGTCTGAGGCCCCCAGGCAGGGGCTGTCAGCCTGTCAACCCCACACACTCTTGCTTCTGGTACTTCCCAGGCTCCAGTCCATGGGTCATTCCTTGCTCAACCATCTCTTCCCCAGCTCATGTTCTTCGTGGCTCGGTTCTGGGCTCGTTTGGGGGGTGGGGGGAATCTATCCACTTAGGGTCCCCAGAACAGGTGCATGTGGCCCTTTTTTGTTTACACCCTGACCCTGCTGACAGGCCCTCTGCACCCCAGACCCCCAACTCCCCAGCACTCTGGCCTGGGACAACTCGCCTCACAGCCCTGCAAGTTAATCCTGGGCTCCTGGGGAGTATCCAGAAGGCGGGCACTTTGGGGTTACTGCCGGGGCCGTAGTAGGTGCTCAGGAAATCTTTGCTGGGCGCACAAGCAAGGAAGATAAAAAGCTGAGATGAACTCACAGGTTGGGGCCGCATCCCCCTGGAAATAAACTCGCCCCAATTCAGACCTGGGCCACTCCCCTTCAAACACACACGGGTTTCAAAACATACTAGAGGGGGGTGTGGGGCAGGGTGTGACTGGAACAGGACCATAGTACAGCAAACAGGACACCTACCTTGCCTCATGGCCAGCCTGGATTCTTTCTCCAGCATCCTGTATGATCCCCTGAGCTTGCCAAGAGTGATTCCTGAGTGAGGAGTAAGCCCTGATAACCGGCTGTGGCCCCCCAAATACTGGCAAGACTGGAGAGATAGCACAATGCGTAGGGTGCTGGCCTTGCATGCAGCTGATGTGGATTCAATCCCTGACACCCTATATGGTCCCCCAAGCCCACCACCACCACCACCACCACCACAGGAGTATCTCCAAGTAAAGCTGGGTATGCCAGCCCCTCCCGCCCGCCCAAACTGACACGTGGGGCCAGAGAGATAGTCCAAGGATTAGGACCCTGCCTGGGTTTGCTCCTTAGCACCCCACAGCCCCTCCTGGTAGCCCCCAACTCTAGGTGAGGAAAGTGCTGTGTCTTTTTTTTCTTTTTTCTTTTTTGGGTCACACCCAATGATGCTCAGGGTTACTCCTGGCTCTGTACTCAGGACTTACTCCTGGCAGTGCTCAGGGGACCATATGGGATGCTGGGAATCGAACCCAGGTCGGCCACGTGCAAGGCAAACGCCCTCCCCGCTATGTTATCGCTCCAGACCCGTGCTGTGTCTTCAGGTCCGGCAGCTGAACTGCTGTCCTGACTGGCTGAGTGCCCCCAGCCATGGTCTCTGTACTCCTTGGTTGTCACTCTGGAGTTCCCCACCCCCCCCCACCACACACTCACACACACACACACACACACACACAAAGGAAGGGAAAACCAGGGAAAAAAATGTAAAGTTCCCATATTATAAAACAAATAAACACCCCGCCCTGCCCCGCCCCCTCCCCCCCAACTGTATCTCCACTTCAGTTCTCTGGGAGTTTTTACACCTCTAAATATATCTGACAGTCTGGTAAGCAAAGCCGTTGACCCAGAACAGACATTTTGCATTGCTTAAAATAAGCCCAAGAGGAATAAAGAGTCTGAAAGTGAGAAAGGGTGGCGCAGACTGTGGCTTCAAAAATAACCGGAGACCTGCCCACCACACTCCTCCCGCACACCACACCCCACCGGGATTCATCTTTCCTGAAACCCCACACTTTCTGGAAATCACAGTTGGGGAGCACGTAGAACCCGAATAGGGCTCACCCTTAACTCCAGTGGGCATTTGAAGCCCCAAGGCGTGGTCCTGAAACTGACGGCTGGGTCTGGGGGTGCCACGGGGTTCACCCAGAGGTGGTGCCTGGAATCCCACCCCAAGCAGAAGTTGCACCTAAGCCCCTCTCTTCACCGCCAGCTCTGAGTCCTGCTGGTGTTTCGGGGATGGAGCGTCCCGGACGATGGGCCTGGGCTAGTCTCTCCTCCCAACCTCAGTTTTCCTATCTGTAAGATGGGCCCAGACGATCTCTCCCTCCTTGAATCCTTGTGAGATTAAAGAATCCCCAGGAAGGGGCTGGAGCGATAGCACAGCGGGTAGGGCGTTTGCCTTACACGCGGCCGACCCGGGTTCGATTCCCAGCATCCCATATGGTCCCCCGAGCACCGCCAGGAGTAATTCCTGAGTGAAGAGCCAGGAGTAACCCCTGCGCATTGCTGGCTGTGACCCAAAAAGCCAAAAGAAAAAAAAAAGAATCCCCCAGAAAAGAAATTCTGCTGGGGGTCTCGAGTGGGCTGGCTGGCTCAAAGGACTGCGTTAAAAGTTGGGGGGCTGGAGTACTTGCCCTGTGGAGTCAGTGGTCACAACCAAGCGATCAACTCCCTGTGCTGGGAAATGGAATGATGTTTGTGACCCGGGTGGGGAGGGCGGCAGGGAGGCCGGAAGCCTAGAGGGGGTCCCACCTGGGAATCTCCCGGGCTCAGAGCCAGGAGGCAGCCTGGACACGGTCTCAGCGGGTTTTCCAGAAAGTGCTGCTGGAACTCCAGCCGTGCAGGACGTTCGTGGGGGACAGAGGGAGAGCGGGTTATCCTGGCGTCTGCTCCCCACACCCCGTCTCGCGGCCACAGGCAGGCCCCAGCGTCCATCCAGCCCCCATGCCTGCACGTCCAGCCTGCCTCCTACACCCCCACACCCCCACGTCCATTCTGCCTCCTATACATCCTCCATACCCGCAGACCCCCACATCCTGCCTGCTCCCACCCCTCAGTCCCACGTCTCCCCTCTTCCCCACACCTCCACTGGCCCCCAACCCCTCATCAGCCTCCATCCTCCCCTCCCAGACCATCCAGAGCTGCCCCCTCCCCGTTTGTCCTGCTCTGTCCATGCGGCCAGAAGAACCTGTGAGCCCCCAGGTCCGGCCAGCACCACCTCAGAGGCTTCCTGGTAGACGCCAAGATCAGTGTCCTCATTGCTGTTCCTCAGACACCCCCACCCCACCTGGACCCCTGCCCTGCGCCACAGCCCCCTGCCCACCTCCTTCCCATCCCGGCCTCGTCCGAGAAGGCTCCCTGGGCTCCCCGCATGGGAGGAGGCTTTATCAGAGTCGCTCGGGCCAGGCCATGCTGCTGCCCGTGTGTGTGTGTGTGTGTGTGTGTGTGTGTTCACAGACGCCTCCAGCGTGGTCCTCTGGCTGTGCTGTCAGTTCCCAGCACCATCGGCTGAGACTGGACGCATCACCCAGAGGCAGACCTGGTTTTGGTTTTGTTTTGGGGACACACCCAGGCTCATTCCTGGCATTGCTCAGGGGACCCTAAGGGATGCTGGGGATTGAACCTGGGTCGGCTACGTGCGAGGCAAACACCCTCCCCGCTGTACTGTTTCTCTGGCCCCACAGACCCATAGGTGCTGAGCCACTTATAACAACAAAGAGTTTGGCTGGATAATGGTCTTAGCGTGGTCACCGCCCTCCCACCGCCACTGACCTAGGGAAGGCCATCACTGCATCCCCCCACCTGGGACTGGGCACGTGTCTAGTTGACAATGAATGATTGAATGAATGTCCCATCTTCTGCTGGGAGAATTTCATGCTCTTTCATTTTCGTCTCTCCAAGCACCAGACAAGGCGTGCAGCAGAGCTAGGGCGTGTATTTAAATGAGCTGGCAATCTGACGTGTTTATCAAGGGTCTTCAGGTGGCAGGAAACACAAGAAAAAATAAATAAAAAAGAAACCGGTTCCACCAAATGGGGCGGGATTAGCTCATGTCACCAGGATTTGGGGAAGATATCAGACCTGTTCCGGAAGGGCCCTCAGCGCTGGAGCTGTTGGCGTCCTGGGTTCCTTTTCAGGCCTCATCTCACCCCCAACCCTCAGCAAAACAAACCAAACCCTGCACACCCCACACTTTCCCAGCAAGCACAGGTACCCTGCTGTGTAGGACCGCCCATTGAGGGAAAATGGAAAGTTCCAGAACTCTTCTGGCTTTCCTCCACGCTGCCGATGATGAGTCTCAGCATGTCCACTGGACCTGTGTCCCTCATGTCCAATACCAGTTATGGCGAGCACAGACTTGGTGCCTCAAAGGAGGCGCCGCTGAGTCGCGGGCCTGCAGGCCCTAGGACTGGGCAGCAGCGGGCGGGAGGTGACCGCCCCTCGCGCCCTGCAGTGCAGCTCAGCCCCGCGGACAGCCGGCTCATGGTCTTCGATGAGACGGAGGGGACGTGGCGGCTTTTGTGCTCCTCAAGGTCCAACGCCAGGGCGGCAGGTCTCAGCTGTGAGGAGATGGGCTTCCTCAGGTACCAGGGTTCCCCCCTCCCCGCCCAGAGGGGTGCAGGTGGGCACAGTGGGAGGAGCAGGCCTGACCCCTGCCCCGCCAGGGCGCTGGACCACTCGGAGCTGGACGTGCGGACGGCGGGCGCCAACGGCACGTCGGGCTTCTTCTGCGTGGACGAGGGCCGGTTACCCCACGCCCAGAGGCTGCTTGAGGTCATCTCCGTGTGGTGAGGAGGGCGGTGGGCAGGGGGCACCGGGCCCCCCACCCCGCACCCACAGCCGCCTCTCACCCCGCCACTGTCCACCTCCCTAACAGTGACTGTCCCAGAGGCCGCTTCCTGGCTGCCGTTTGCCAAGGTGAGACCCCGAAGCTCAGGCCCTCTCCCCTGGACCACCCTGGGGCAGGATCCAAACAAACCTCAGAGGGTCCCCCCACCCCAAAGATGGAGCTGTGCCTGAGTTACCCCAGTCCAGCCCGTTATCCCTGGAGACCCTCCCTCATGCAGGCCCGTGAATCCTTCGGGTCCCCGATAATTTGGGCAGCGTCTGCTCAGATTCCCTGGGGATGGGGCATGTCTCCAAGGGCCCCCAGGACATGCTTTGCTCACCCAGCCCCTTCCCTGCGCCTCATCGTCCCCCCAACCTCCCCAGACTGTGGCCGGCGGAAGCTGCCCGTGGACCGGATCGTGGGGGGCCGTGACACCAGCCTGGGCCGCTGGCCCTGGCAAGTCAGTCTCCGCTACGACGGTTCCCACCTGTGCGGGGGCTCGCTGCTGTCCGGGGACTGGGTGCTGACCGCTGCCCACTGCTTCCCCGAGTGAGTGTCCCCCACACTCCTGCTCCGGGCGGGGGGGTCAAGGCAGGCTCGGGGAGCTCATGTTCAGCCAACGGCCTCGGCCCTCCCGTGTCCCGTAGGCGCAACCGTGTGCTATCCCGGTGGAGGGTGTTCGCGGGCGCCGTGTCCCAGGCTTCACCCCAGGGGCTGCAGCTGGGGGTGCAGGCGGTCGTCTACCACGGGGGCTACCTTCCCTTCCGGGACCCCAACAGTGAGGAGAACAGCAATGACATCGCCCTGGTGCACCTGTCCAGTGCCCTGCCCCTCACAGGTACGCCCTGCCCGCACACCCCCACCCCACCCAGAGCTAGGCGGGGCCCAGACACGAATCTGAGGTGACGAGGGACCCCGAGGAGCACTGTGGGAAGGGGCCGATTGCCACGGCCAGCCAGGAGGAGGCTCTGGAGTCTGATGGTCCCACCCTCATTCACAGATTCAGGCACCCGGAGTGGCAGCGGCCATGGCCCAGCCTCTGGTCGGGTCTGACTGCAGGGCACGGGTGTGTCCGACCCGCCAGACATACCCCTTCACCTTCCCCATCCTGACCTCAGGGAAGACCAGGAGGCCCTTCCTTTGCCCCTCAGTGCTCGGGGGTTCTGCAGCTGGTCACACTGGGGAGCGTGTGTGGGCCGGGCTCTGCGCTGGGAAGGGGCGTCTCCAGGCCCCGCCCACCTGGAGGGTCCCGTGTGTCCTCAGGGTGATTCCATGGTGTCAAACAATTTAGTCAGACCTCCTCCTCGGCCTCCTTGGCCGCCTCCTCCTCCTCCTCCTCCTCCTCCTCCTCCTCCTCCTCCTCCTCTACCTCCTCCTCCTTCTCCTCCTCCTCTTCCTCCTTCTCCTCCTCCTCCTCCTTCTCCTCCTCCTCCTCCTTCTCCTCCTCCACCTCCTCCTCTTCCTCCTCCTCCTCCTCCTCCTCCGGCTCCTGCTACTCCTGCTCCTCCTCCTCCTTCTCTTCCTCCTCCTGCTGCTCCTCCTCCTGTTCTTCCTCCTCCTCCTCCTCCTCCTCCGGCTCCTGCTCCTCCTGCTCCTCCTCCTCCTCCTGTTCTTCCTCCTGCTCCTCCTCCTGCTGCTCCTCCTCCTGTTCTTCCTCCTCCTCCTGCTCCTCCTCTTTCTCCTCATCTCCTATTTTTCTCCCTCCTGCTCCTCTTCCGCCTCCTGATCCTCTTTCTTCTTCTCTTTTTCCTCCTCCCTCTTCTCCTGCTTATCTTCTTCCTCTTTCTGCTCCTCCTCCTGCTCCTTGTCCTCCTCTTGTTTCTCTCTCTCTCTCTCTCTCTCTCTCTCTCTCTCTCTTTTTGCTTTTTGGGTCACACCTGGCGATGCACAGGGGTTACAACTGGCTCATGCACTCAGGAATTACTCCTGGTGGTGCTCAGGGGACCATATGGGATGCTGAGAATCGAACCCGGGTTGGCCGCGTGCAAGGAAAAGACCCTACCCGCTGTACTATCAACTCCAGGCCCTCCTCTTGTTTCTATTCCACTGCTGTTCCTCCTCCTCCTCTTCCTCCTTCTCGTCCTCCTCTTTCTGCTCCTCTTCCTCCTCTTGCTCCTTCATCTCCTCTTTCTCTTCCTCCTGCTCCTCCCGCTTCCTCCTCTTCCTCCTTCAGCCTCCTTCTCTCCACCCCCACCTCACACCTGCAAGGCCTGTGCCCTACCATTGCACCACATTCCAGGCCAGATCTGCCCCCACCCCCAACCCCCATTTTTACCTACAAAGGCACTCTCTGGGGCAGGGAAGGGGAGAGGTACCCAAAGTCCCCTCTGGTCTGGGTTAGAAACTGAGAATTGGGCAGACCTGCATTCAGTTTCTGGCCCTCCCTACCTGACACCCTGAGAACGACCTCATTTCCTTCCTGTGAAGGGGATCAGGGTGGACTCCACCCTCTGACCGTGGCCGGGTGCAGGGCAGGGTCTAGGCAGGGGTGTCAGGTGGTCAGGGCGGACGTGTGCTCACTCTCGCTTACAGAATACATCCAGCCCGTGTGCCTCCCCGCTGCTGGCCAGACCCTGGTGGACGGCAAGGTCTGTACCGTGACCGGCTGGGGGAACACGCAGTACTACGGTGAGTCCAGTCTGGGAGCCCGAGTTCGGCCGGGGAGAGCTGCCTCTGGGCGGGAGAGCCTGGGGGAGGGTGCCGTGCAGCCCGGCCAGCCCCTTTCCCCACACCCGCAGGCCAGCAGGCGGGGGTGCTCCAGGAGGCGCGAGTCCCCATCATCAGCAATGACGTCTGCAACAGCCCCGACTTCTATGGGAGCCAGATCAAGCCCAAGATGTTCTGTGCTGGCTACCCCGAGGGTGGCATTGATGCCTGTCAGGTGGGGGAGGGGGCAGGGGCGGGGGCAGCCCCGACCCCTGGCACTCCAGGGAGGGCGACATAGACGGGGGGTGGGGGGGGGGCGGGGGGCAGAGGTCGGTCGGGCGCCCAGTTCAGGGCTGGAGGGCTCTGTGACCCCAGCCCAGGGCCGCCGAGAGGCGTCCAGCCCAGCCTCTGCTGCTCCCCAGGGCGACAGTGGGGGCCCCTTCGTGTGTGAGGACAGCATCTCGCGGGCACCACGCTGGCGACTCTGTGGCATCGTGAGCTGGGGCACGGGCTGTGCCCTGGCCCAGAAGCCGGGCGTCTACACCAAAGTCAGCGACTTCCGGGAGTGGATCTTCCAGGCCATAAAGGTGACAGTGAAGGGGCTGGAGCGATAGCACAGCGGGCAAGGCATTTGCCTTGCACACGGCCTACACGGGTTCGATTCCCAGCATCCCATATGGTCCCCTTGAGCACCGGCAGGAGGAATTTCTGAACATTGCCAGGTGTGACCCAAAAAGCTAAAAAAAAAAAGGTGACAAAGAGGTCTAGATGGATGGGCCTCAGAGGCCTCGGCAGGGGAGGGGGCAGGGTCCCCCCCCACCATGGGGTCCCTGAACCTCTGCTCTAGCCTAGAAGCGTGGGGGCTCTCCTAGGGGGGCTGCAGAGGGCAGTGGGGACACGAGGTGAGTGGGGGGACTTCCGGCAGCCCCTCAGACCTCGGAAGCCCCCAACTCTCTTTCCCCAGACTCACTCCGAGACCAGCGGCATGGTGACGCAGCTCTAACCTGTGGCTTCTCCCCATTGCACACGTTTCTGGGGTCCGGCGGACGAAAGCGCCTCACCCCACCAGGTGGGCCCACCTGGGACCCGGGACGGAGCATGCTCCTTCCTGCGTCCAGCCCACAGCACAAGGACACCCCCTCCAGGGGCCTCTCTTCCACAGTGGCGGGCACACTGGGCCCCGGGAACACCTCCGCTTCACCTGATCCCCCTCCCTCCTCCCATGTAAATATTGTTCCGCCATCTGGGGGCCCTCCCCTGGGTGTCCCTGATGACAGATGCTCTTTAAATAATAAAGGTGGTTTTGATTAGTGTGGCCTCAGAGAGGGCAACTATAAGCAGCAATGAGACCGTTGGGTGGGTGGGTGGGTGTGTGCGGGGGTGGGGGGTGTGGGGTAGAGGCTTCGGGGTCCAGGATAGGGCAGTCAGGGTGCACAATCCAGCAATTTCCACCAGCTTAAGAGAAGAGACTTGACTGGGTCACTTGCAAAAGGGTTTCCGGTCTTGTTGGATGCAACAGTTCAGCTAGTTTTCATCAAGTATGGGCTTCATTTCTCCTGTCATAAATATGTTTTCCTTCCTCTCAGAATCATTGCCAAGAAGCCTCCCCTACCACAATGACAGAGCTGGACCCCACCAGAAAAACCAACCCTCGGGGGCTGGAGTGATAGCACAGTGGGTAGGGCGTTTGCCTTGCATGCGGGCGACCCAAGTTTGATTCCCAGCATCCCATAGGGTCCCCTGCGCACCTCCAGGAGTGATTCCTGAGTGCAGAGCTGGGTGTGACCCAAAAAGGAAAAAAAAACACAACCCTATAGGCTTATGTTCCATGTCCAACTTAGCAGTCTCAGCAGAAAGGAGATAGGGCAGTAAAAACAAAACCCTGGAAAGATTTGGGCCATGTGCTCACCCTGCAATTAAGTCATTGTGTGCTCAAATGATTCAAAGGCCCGTGCTCATGTTCTTCATGCTGGAGCCTGTGCCAAGAGTAGTGAGCACTGCTGAGTGTGGTCCCTAAAACAAAACCAACAAAAATACCTTTCAATAGGGGGCTGGAGTGATAGCACAGCAGGGAGGGCGTTTGCCTTGCATGCAACTGACCCGGGTTCGATTCCCAGCATCCCATATGGTGCCCCAAGCACCGCCAGGAGTCATTCCTGAGTGCAAAGCCAAGAGTAACCCCTGAGCATTGCCAGGTGTGACCCAAAAAGAAACAAACAAACAAACAAACAAAAAACACCTCCAATAGCCAGTAAGTCATGGTGCATGCAACTTGTGGTGGGAAGGGGGATTTGATTAGGATTCACGTACCTGGAATTGGTGACGTGCTGAAGGAAAAGGGGTAGTTGCTGCTGAAGAAAACGAACCACCCAGTGATTCAAAACCAACACCCACCTGGGGTCTACCCAGGAAGCAGAAAGTCGGGCCCTGTAGGATGGAGACCGGGCAGTAGGGCCCCCTGAGTGCAGCCCCAGACCTGCCCCTCTTCCTTCGGTCTGAGCAGAAGTGGTTTCCTGCTTCTCCTGGACCCACCCAGCTCTCTCTGTGGTGGCGGTGGCCTCCGACAGCCACCAGGGGGAGCCATTCCTCTTAAACTGAGAAATTCAGGTACTTCTGCCCAGCCAGCCTGGTCTACGTGCGGCTGGTCTGCAGGAGATCTCACCAGGAGGTCTGTTTCCCAAGACTTAACATGATAAAAAAAAAAATATTATAATGTGTCCTCTACCAACCCCAAGCCCCAAGCAATTTCCTAAAACAAAAATAGGCATAGCAGGAATAACAGGAAGCCACTGTGAAGAGCATGCAGGCTCCCAAATGCCCCTAGTTTTGCTCCCAGGAAGGACACCAATTCTCGAGGCTGAGGGCTCCCCACCACCGTTGCTTTGCCCGCAGGGAGAGACCCTATGGCTCTGCAGAAGTCCACTTCCGCGTGTGGCTGTGCAGTCCTGCCCATATTTGAGATGTAATTCGAAACTTGAGGCACGCACATTGCTTTGTTGCATATGTGTCTTGAGCGACAGGATGCACCTATGAATTTTCCTGTGATTGCCAACTGAAATCTGCAGTGTGTTTCGGGAAGTCTGAGAACCAGAGAGGCTGGCGAGCAGAAGCCTGTCTGGGGAGGGGCTGAAAGCTTGCGGGGCTTGTCCAGGTGAGAGGGAGCAGGTCTGAAGACTTAGAAGCTGCTCTAGGGGGTGGGGAGGCAGGGAGGGGGAGACTTAAGAAGGCAGCCCTCAGCCCTAGGAGATTGGGGCAGTTGCAGCCTTACTCCAGAGAGCTCTGGTGGGAAGTGCTGGCATATTTTTTCTGTGATTTTTAGGGCTGGAGCGATAGCACAGCGGGTAGGGCGTTCACCTTACAAGCGGCCAACATGGCCGACCCGAGTTCGATTCCTCCGCCCCTCTCGGAGAGCCCGCAAGCTACCAAGAGTATTCGATATGCCAGACACAGTAACAACAAAGTCTCCAATGGAGACGTTACTGGGCCCGCTCGAGCAAATCTACGATCAACGGGAGGGCCTTTACCTTTTCTTTACCTTTTTGGGGCCACACTTGGCGATGCTTCAGGGTTACATCTGGCTCTGCACTCAGGAATCACTCCTGGTGGTGTTCAGGGAACCATAGGGAATGCCAGGGATCGAACCCTGGTGCACCACATACAAGGCAAGCGCCCTACCACACATCTCTCAGGTCCTGATGTACCAGAAGTTAAAGCCAATTGGGAACACCAGGGGGCGCCTTGATGTTGTTTTTACTTTCGGGGTGACACCCGGCAATGCTCAGAGATTACTCCTGGCAGTGCTCAGGGACCATATGAGATGCCAGAGATTGAACCCGGGTCGGCTGTGTGCAAGGCAAACGCCCTCCCTGCCGTACTATTGCTCCAACCCAGGGGGATTGCCTTGAGTTCTGACGGCGTCATTCCCTCTTGGAGAAGGAGGAATGGAGAGTTCACCAGGTTCTCCTGTTGGCAAGAGCTGGGTCAGCCTCACTTTCTCCTCCACCAGCCTTGCCCCCACTTCCCCAAGAAGCTGCCTGCATTAGAGAAACCCTAGTACCGCTCACCAAGTTGCTTTGGAGACCAGCTGGGTACTGGGGCATCAGAAAGGCTGAATAGAAAAGCTGAACTTGGACCCACTGCATTTCCACTACTGGGTTTCATCCAAGTCTCACCCCCCCCCCCCCCCGGCTGGGACACAGATTCTGGCCCATAGCGAGTTGTCGATATTGGGGCTGTCACTCTGTCACAGAGAAGCCTTGGGGGGTGTTTGGAAGGGAATGCCCCGTGGGGGGCGGTCAGCACCCCTGTCCCATGTGGATAAAGGGCTCTCTTCCATCACACTAGTTGTGCTACGGGTGGGAGACCACAGGGACGGTGAGGCCCTTCACTTCCTATTCAGAAATAGGATGGGGAATGTTCAAAGGGAAAAGGCAGACAATGGGGTTTGGGTCCTGCAGGCAAAAGCACTCTGGCCATGAGTGGGTAGCAGTTTGGTGGCATCTACTGCCCAGCGAGCTGCCCTGAGCCTGGTCTGAGAACTGGCACATGACTTAATGGTGAAGCTGCAGGGAGGTGCAGCTCTGGGCCACGTGTCTGCCTTGGGTTAGGGGGAGCCAGAACAGAGCCTTGGGGACCCCCACGTTGAAGATGGAGCCTCCTCTGCCTCATGTGCATCTCCTCTGCCAGGGAGCCCCCCTCAACGCCACAGTGCTCAGTCAGCCCTCTGGTCTAATTCCTCCAGAAGCTCTCTGCCTGGTCCTGCTCCCTAGCGGCCCTTCCAAGTCCACCTCTTCCCTATGCGGGGACACCCGCAGCCATCCATTCAGCATCCCTCTGCCCGTGCTGACTGAGGCCCAGGAGACTGGAAATTCATCTCAGGCAGCAGGGAGCCAAGGGACAGAACCAAGGACAGGCCCTGTCACCGGCCCCTGCCCTGCCTGTGAGAGGCCCCTCCCACCCAGACACAACTCCACCCACTGTAGGCATGTCCCGCCCACCTCATGTACTGCCCCGCCCACCACAGGTATGACCCTGCCCCCGCAGGCCTTGCACAGATGGTTGACTGTGAGCAAGCCAAGCGCCTTCCCCACAGTACTAGCCCTCTAGCCCTCCTGTGGACCCTCCTTTTTTTTAATTATTATTTTATTTTATTTTTATGAAGTTGTTCACAATAGTTCATTACAGCTAATATTCAAACACCAATCCCACCACCATGCACCTTCCCACCACCATAAGAGGAAAGTGTGTGGAGATTGTTGTGTTTCATCCTGGAGCCACTTAAGCCCTTACAGAAGAGATTACAAGTGTGTATGTTAAAACCAAATATGTGCTATTTTTGGTACATCAGTGGGATAGAGTGTAAGAGGTTGTGTGCTCCAGGATGTTCTATGTTGCTCTCTTCCGGAAGCTTTATTTCTGAGTCTCTGGATCTTGGTATTGATGAGATTACATGGCGCCTGGGGAAGTTTGTGGGTGTGATTGCCAAGCTACTGGAAAACTGGAGTGCTGGCGGGGAGGCCCATTCCCTCCCCAAACGAGCTTGGAGATCTCAGTAATGGGTCCCACATACCTGGGTTTTTCTGCAGGTTCCCTCACAGGTGAGGCTCGTCCCAGCCTGTGGAGAGCAGCCTTGAGCGTGGCTGCGTGGTTGGGTTCTGGAGGTTTTCAGCTGTGGCATTCTGCTGGGGCAGGGAGGGAAACTCAACCTGCATCCCCCCTCCAAGTTGCCCTGGTAAAGACAACCTGGCATGGGGTCAGGGTATTCTATATCTGCAGGCCCTCTTGTTAGGCTTTTGTTCCCATTCATGCCACCACATTCATTCTTTTTTCAGAAGGGGTGTGGGTTGGGCCATGACCTATGGTGGTGCTCAGGGATCACCCCTGGTGGGGCTCAAGGGAACATATTGGGTGCTGGAGATCCAACCAGGATTGGTCATGGGCAAGGCAAGTGCCCATCTGCTACACTATCTCTCGGGGCCCCAAACTTACTCTTGATGAGGTTCGCGTCACGGACCCTCACCCCCTGCAGATTATGGCTGCTCTGATTCCGCCCCTGCGCCAGGCCCTTTCTCTCAGGCCCTTGATCTTCCTCCCTCCTCACCAGCCCACCCCCAGATCCAGCCACCAGATCTCCCCCATGTCTGGCCTCCTGTCGGGCTCCCCGCCTCACTACCATGAACAACACCCCAGGCCCATCAGAGCTGAGCCTCTCGGACCCACAGTCAGCCCACAGCCTCCCCGTCTGCAGGCCTGTCCTGTCCCCACAGGCTTCCCTCTACTCCTGAGACCAGACTGGGCATCTGGAACTCACA